TTGCGAGAAGTCAGATCGTTACGAATCGCTTGTACGATCAACTTCATTAGATCCGAATTCTGTTCATCTCAGTGCTGATTGAGCAGAATTCGGATCTAATGAAGTTGATCGTACAAGCGATTCGTAACGATCTGACTTCTCGCAATCCCATCCATGTCAATCTCGCTCTGCAGTGCATCTCAAATATCGGTAGTCGCGATATGGCTGAAGCGTTCTCAAACGATCTTCCAAAATTACTTGTTTCCGGGTAGGTTTAAATTTCAGCACAAATGATCCTTCCGTTCTCTTGTTTCTTTTATATTCTCCTTTCCTCCACTTTATCCATTGGGAATTGTTTCTTTCTTTTATAACGTTTGGTGATGCTTTCGCAAAGACTGCGTTTTAAAATGTTTTTCGCATTTACCTCAAGTGAGTTCATACTTTGCGTTTTGTTCGCTCTGATCACGTGAGTGATTTGGTCGTTTGTTGGGAAAGATCAGCGCCAGCGATGAATTGATGCCGATGGCACGAAGCGCGTGAAGCTCGAGATTGTCGCCAACCGATGTCGAGCACTGATCATTTTGATCGCGAAATGAAATCGCTCGCGCTTCCACGGCGAACAAGTCACGAAGTATGAATGCATTCTTGAGAGAAAGATGATTTCCTTATGTAAGGAGCAGAGGTCTGCATCCTCTGGCTCACTGACATGGGAAAGGCGCTAGCTTCTTGCAGTGGCCCATCCGAAGCAGAAGTAGCCATTGAAGTTAGGTTACTATATGGCTCATTATCGGTGGCCTCTCCTGTTTGTGCGGCTGTCTAGCTCCTGCCAGCCTGTGTTGTCTCTGGCCAAGCGCCTCTGGTCTTATTCACCATATTCTCGACTTATGCTGAGCATTGACAGGAACTTGTTTGAGGCAATTCAGATGTAGCTTTTGCTCATTACTTCGCCGCTTTTAAATCAACCAGCACCTAGTACACACAATCCCTGGAACGAGGTAGGCGTGCTGCGTACTTCAACTATCCGTGGACGGTGGTCATGCTTCTTGGAGAGACATTTCCATTTTGGCACAATCGGGGTTGCGTCTCTGTCCAACACAGAAAAAAATGACAGTTGTTTCAAAGTGAAATATCCCACGAGCAACCCATTCTATGCAGTGCTCAAAGGCACGCCTACTTCGTCTCAGGGATAAGGAGTGTACTTTGAGCGTGCATCATGCTACCCACGTATTTCAATTGCAAAATGCGCTTTTAAGATACTCTGAAGTTCACACTCGTTTTTCCCTTTGTAATCAAGAGGTTGTGATGTTGTGATTTATCAACGTTTTGAATTATGGGTATGAATAATACCTATAATACCTTTTTGATAATCTTTCATATCCCATAATTCAAAACGTTCTGGTCGCGTTCACATACAAGAATTCCGCGGAATCCACAGAACAAGATAGCATCCATATCGATTTGTGAAATCCACAGATTCCACGAGAATTTGAGGAAACCCTAGATGGCTGAAGTGAACAAATCACTCTGCTCCAGATGTTTCCCCGTTCTTGCGATTCCTGCATTCCGAAGAATCCGTGGGCTCCAGGAAGTCTGCGAATTCTTCAGCTCATACGTGTACATTCCTTTCGCAGATTCCGCGAATTAAGCTTTATTGTGTATGGACGCGGCCTCTGTTATTTGCAATACTTTCAGTGATACTATTGATTTCGTCAAACAGTCAGCAGCGTTGTGCCTTCTAAAATTATTTCGCACAGCTCCAGATGTGATTCAACCGGGTGAATACGCTAGTAGGATTGTTCACTTACTAAATGACTCGCATATGGTGAGGTTTTGTTTTTCCGATCCCATTATATAGGAGGAATCTCAATGTCCCATCTTAAGTTTGTGTTGTCACGTCAGCTGCATCTCTCATTGAATCTCTTTCAAGGAAATGGCCGGATGAATACAAGGTGAGTTCGTTTTATTTTTCATCTAAACATTTGCGCTGCTTTCTCCTGTGGATGAAAGGCGTGGGCCGGGATACGGCTTTCGGGTCGGCGTCAGCCGTCTTGTCACCAGTTGTTGAAGCAAGCAAGCGATGAGACTGTATCATATCCTTCGTATTAGTCGTTTTCAGCTATCGTTGTCGCTCACCGCTTCAAGCACTGGCGGAGACCGGGGTTTGGTGGCCGTGTCGAGATCCATCGCGGCCATGAACACACTGTAGCTATGCAGTGAACTGCCATATATTACACTTTTATATATCTAGGGGTGTGTGCCACTGGCAATATCTCGATTAAGCCGAATTGTGACCGCAACCTATACCGATCTCCAAGGAGAGTGATCAGCGTATTCGTTTCCTAGCACCTTGGTTATGCGTGAAATTGCTGCGCCTATTGCAGAATTACCCTCCTCCAGGTGAGCAGTAGGACCGCTAGAAAAAGTTCACGCTAGTTCAGTCAAAGGCTGTAATTTGTCGGTTTTCAGAAGACCCTTCAAACAAAGCACGACTGCTTGAGTGTCTGGAGGGAGTCCTGAATAAAGCTCAAGATGCGCCGAAATCCAAGAAAGTACGTTAAGAAGCTATCACTTCATGCTTTGTATAAACAGCTTCACATGCGACCTTCAGGTTCAACATTCAAACGCAAAAAATGCTGTATTGTTTGAAGCCATAGCTTTGATTATCCATATGGATAGCGAAGCAAACCTCCTCGTACGCGCTTGTAATCAACTGGGTACTTTCCTTGCACACAGAGAAACGAACCTCAGGTATGTTTCCTAACTGTCTATCAACTTTTGCTTATTTTTCATTTGCCTTATTGCTGTTTTTATTTATTGATTTGCAGGTATTTGGCACTAGAATCCATGTGTCTATTAGCAACATCTGAGTTCTCTCATGAAACCGTAAAGAAGCATCAGGATACCATCATCAACAGCCTGAAAACAGAAAGGTTAGGAGTATTTTAGGCCTCTATTCTATAATCATTTTTTTGTGATTTTGGCATAGAGACAGTTGGCACGATAAATCCCTAAAGACGAGTAGGATTAATACGACTGGCATGGCAGAATTCCGTGACCCTGAACAGGCGCTGCGTAGCGCCTTTTCCAAGGAGGGTACCCTTATAGCGCCCTATTGAGCAGCAACATACCGACCCGGACGCCCACCTCGCCCGCCCGCCTACCATTGGACGTATAGCATCACAGCACGAGGACGTGCCGTTGTGGACCGCCCGTGCCTACGTGTAATGTAACGTAGAGCGACGTAGAACGTACTGCTGGCTTTTTGCCAGCAGTAAACGGTTCAATCGGTAGACTCGTCCAAAGCAGCGCCCGCCCAGCCGTTCGCTCGTCCACTGCCGCAGTGCAGCGAAGAAATAAAGCCCCCATTTCGTGGTTTCCCCACCATTTCGCCCCGTTTTTTCACTATTTTTGCATTACTGGGCACCTTTGCTCTTTTTCAAAGTGTACATGAAATTATCGTGCCAACTGCCTTTAATTTATCGATAACTCCTATGTAAATGTTACCACGTGGGTGCTGCTGGTCAGTTGGGTAGCACACTTGCTCGATAAACAGGAGCTCTGTGGTCAGTTCTAGGCATGAGCCAGATGTTTTGCTAATAACTCAGCATCCTTGTTATTTTTCACTGATAAGTTGTTCCCCGAAAGCGAAGGTGGTGCAGTGGCAAGTAGCCCGCTACCACGCGCACAATCCGTGGATCAAACCCAGGATCGGTTCCCGCGCAGCTCAACCAAGCTTTCTACCCTCCAAGAGCGGTGAACTGGTATCAGGTTCGTTTTGGAGGGCGAGAGCACTGCGTACATCAGCTGTCCCTCCCCCCAAGTTATTGTATGGACCACTTAGTGAGCCTCTACGACTTTGAGTGGAAGTAGAACGCCGGCCGCAATTCAAAAAAAGGATTGAGGAGACAACTTCATGCTTTTTATCCTTTACATAAGTTGTTACCAAGATCTGAGTAACATATTTTCCCCCGTTCAGAGATGTTTCTGTGCGACAACGTGCTGTCGATCTACTGTACGCTATGTGCGACCGCACCAATGCGAGCGAGATCGTCGCAGAAATGCTTTCTTATCTGGAGACGGCCGATTACTCCATTAGAGAAGAAATGGTCCGCTGTTCTCCCATATCATCGGCATTTGAATCACGCACAGTTCCTTCTAGGTCTTGAAAGTCGCAATACTGGCTGAAAAGTATGCTACTGACTATACATGGTATGTCGATGTAATCCTGAAGTTGATTCGAATTGCCGGTGATTATGTGTCAGAAGAAGTGTGGTATAGAGTGATTCAGGTACGAAATTTTCGTTCTTTATGTATTAAGAGGTTGCTGCGAGCTTTACTTCTGGGGTTCAGTTTAGTATTACAAACGCAAAGGAGCCTATTATTGCTAGCTCAACCTCCCAGGTAAATAAGGTAATAGCTGCCCCATAGCGTTGTTATTTTGCCACAGCTACGGCTGCGTTTGTTTGCTTACGCTGAGTGGCTACTCAATGTATGCAGGAAGCATTATGAACATTCCACGGCAGGTGCAGTATGTTCGCTGCGGATGATGGGCGTGTTAGGCAGGATTGGTTGGCACAGCGCCAAAAACGTTCTCCACCAGTTGTTGAGGCGAGTAAGCGACAACTACTGGTGGGAAACGGGTGATACGAACATTATGATGAAGTATTCCCGCTTGCTCGCTTCAGTAAATGGTTGAAAATGAACTAGGCCCCACGCCAATCCCATCCCGCCTGACACGCCTCTTCATCCGCAACGAACAAGACTGTAGCACCCCAATCATGAACAGATTCAGTTGCTAAAAAGGGGGTGGTAACCTTTTGGGTACGTGGTCCCAAATGTGGAAAACAGTGGCGTCTTGGGGCGCACGCAAATCCATATATCGGCGCGAATCAGCTAGCTGTGAATCAAATGAACCACAGGCGATACCGCTCCTAAGGAACTACTTCCGTGTTGTTGTGAAGTTATTGCCAACAAGTACTAGCAAAAAGGCGATCACTGGTTTTCCAGATTGTTGTTAACCGTGAAGACGTTCAAGGATATGCTGCGAAAACGGTCTTTGAAGCGCTACAGGTATTGATTTGCTTCTTTTCATTCAAGTTGGTTTTATCTATAAGCTTTCTTTGTAAATTAATTGTCTCTTTGTGCTGTGCCTTTCTTCATTAATATTCTATTCTCTCCTGCATTTCTCGCGGCCCGAGATCATATATAACTACCGTACTCTTGATAATTCCTAGTCTATTTGCCCTCTTTTCTCTGCCACTGTTCTGTGGCCTGATGCATCTGCTGAGCGCACCGATTAGTAAATGAACCCATCTCGTTCACATTGATAGTCCTTCTTCTCTCCTCTGTTTTGAAGAGGCGTGTGGTTTTTAGAGGCGTGTGTCTGAATTAATAAAGAAAAGCTTTCATGCTGCACATTTTTAGAGGCCGGCTTGCCACGAGAACATGGTGAAAGTTGGTGGATACATATTGGGAGAGTTTGGAAATTTGATAGCAGGCGACCAGAGGTCGAGGTATGTCGCAGTAAGCACACTGTCTTCACATATTTTTTTTGATTTGTTGAAATTATGTGAAACAAATGGATGTCCAAAATATTTATCACACAACGACCAGAATATTTAAGAAAACCTTAGGAGTTATTATTTAGAGTCTTCGGGGTGTTGACGCAAAGTTTGAACGCTGCTTAAGAGTGCGCTCATATGTGTTGATCTTGCGTTCTGCGAGAATCGGCGTTTTGAGTGAAAAGGAAAACATAATTATCGACCGACGCTCAGAGCGTCGATTCTCCCATTCTGATTTGCTAAAAAAGAACTCGCTCAAAAAGCTAATGACCGGCGCTAATCCTAATCCTACCTGTGCTATCCTTTTGGCTCAGAACGCTGGTTGTTGCGAAATGCCGAGTCAAAGTACGAACGCAACGCATTGCGAACGAACCGCCGTACTGGAGTAATCTTTTATCTTTTGAGTGATTCTATCGATGACGTTGGAAAACCTACACTAATCCCATCAGCAGTGGGTATTCTTCTTTCCTAGCTAGAGATTTGTCTTAGTGATTTCAGTACAGGGACAGGGCACGTTATTAGTTTTGGATTTTGGACGACTCTGTACGACCCTCTCCCTTTTTTTGGGGAATTGGTACAATTCCCTGGTTCCCTCCTCATCGAGCTGTCGAGAAGAGGAAGGTGGTCACGAGAAAAATACACCCCTTCCCCTCTCTATCATTTCTGAAATTTTCCCCAACTTCTTATACATTTTCCGGAATTTCCCGAAAATTTTCCTACTTTTTCCCAAAAATTTTGTTGTCGAGTAGTCGGAGGTTTGTAGTACATATGATACAGGAAAGCACGGAAAATCACCTACCTCTCTTAGCACGTCTAAAGTGAAGTACGACCCTCCTTATAACAACGAGCCAACACGACCCCCCCCCTTTATAGCGACCGTGGAACAAGAAAAGTCAACTATCAAAAAAATTTTCCCAGCCCAAATACGATCCCCCTCTCCCGGTGACCAAATACGACCCCCTCCCCCACCCCCTGTTGGGGAATCCCCAACTTGATGTGCCGTGGCAGGAAAATATTGTGAATTCCACATAGCGATTTCTTTTCCTTGTCGTTGTGCACAATCGTGTGCACCACGCGGTCCGCAAATGGTTAAACCAAATCATCATGGATATCAACCTGTAAGCTCTATTATTCAGCCCTCAAATCCAGTTTGAGCTACTGCACTCGAAGTTCCCGTTGTGCAGTATCGCGACCAGGTGCCTACTTCTTACGACATACGTGAAGTTCTGTAACTTGTTCCCTGAGATCAAGCACATAATCCAGCAGGTTAGTGTTCTCAGTAACGTAAATGCTTCTAAGGTGTCCAATTTATGGTGTTTAATTTTGTATCGTCACGACGTAACTTCAGGTCTATCAAATCGATCATAATTTGAGAAATCCGGATGCGGAGTTACAACAGCGAGCCGTAGAATACCTGCAGATGAGCAAAGTCGCGAGTCCAGATGTTCTGGCTACGGTAAATTGCATCTCCGTTCAAAAATATCTTCGACGCCGCTACGTGGATTGCTCCCCCCCCCCTTGCAATTGATTGCAACCTTCTCAGTTTGCCGAGAAAGCTTTCAACTGTGCTTTATACGGGATCAGAAAATGGAATTTTTTAAAACCAAAAGAACACGTTGTGTCTTGCTTCCATCAATTCTTTACACAGGATATTTTTGCAGATTCTGGAAGAAATGCCACCATTCGCAGAGAAGGAGAGCAGCCTTCTAGCCAAGCTGAAAAAAGGTAATCCACAAGATGAGGAACTGGACAGTGGGGAGAAAGAGAAGAAGAATCGGCCTAACGCTTCTATGTCAAAGGTCTTCTTACAATTCTTTCTGAACTAGTTGACTTCTCTTTTTCGTTTTTATTAGGTTTTCCGGAAAGTTCTCAGCGTTCGTCTCGTGCACGGATCTATTTTTTGTACATTCACTGCTGATTGAAAAACTCATTCTGCCTTGCTTCTCAGTAGCACATCCTGTAGAGAATTTCTTGCGCTATCTGATGGTATAATTGCCTTTTCATCATTGCTTGATAAACCCCCTTTTTTCAAGACTTTTTCAAGCATGTGAAAAGAGCACTTCGGACGATTTTTTTCTTCGACTATAAATTGGAGGCAATCCGCAATCGAAACAGCTCAACAAATTAACCAGGTGTGGGAGGCCCAATAGTGCTAGAGAAAGCACTGTGCGGCAATGGCTGAACAAATTTCGTTCTGGAGATTTCAGCCTTGAAGATGAACCTCATAGAGGTTGACCTAAAGCAATATCTGACGAGGATTTTTTAGGGGGATTTTGGGGGCTGACCCATCCCAAACAGTTTGAGAGATAGCAGAAGAGCTAGGCCTTGGCAAATCCACTGTTGCAGATGGTCTGGAACGCATTGGGAAGGTGAAAAAACTCGACAATTGGGTGCCCCACAATCGGAGTGACCGGCAGGAATCGGCACGTCTCGAGGTTCCTTTGCGCAATTGGCGTGCGCAGCAGAACACGACCTGTTTGTTGGAACCGGAAATTGCCACCTGTGATGGTTTATGAACATGTACTGATACAGCGAGACGTTCCGGAAGTGGTGAGATTTTGGACGGGCCACCGATAAGTTTCAACAGACCGCAACCTCACCGGAAAAAGGTTCTGGTCACGGCTTGGTGGTCATGGCGGCTGTGTGAATGCCACTAATAACTGTTTAACACCCAGGGCCTAAACCATCACAGCAGAACGCCTAAGTGAAAGAATATCGACGAATTGTACGAAATTTTGTCAGATGCAGCAACACTATGCATCATAAAGAAAGGGTCGCGGGTCGATTCCTTGGGCCTGACAACGCCCAGCCCGCTACGTTTTCACAAGTCACTGTCCAAGAAATTGAACGAATTTGGGGGTTGAAGTTCTACCTCAACCGCCATATTCTCCAGACCTTTCACCAACCGACTATCACCTTTTCAAACATTTTCAGAACTTCCTTGCTGAAAAATACTTCATCAATTAGGACACCAAAAAGGTCCTCGTAGATTGTGGGATTCTCGGACCACTAATTTTAAGTTTTTCTTTGATGGAATTTTTCTCGACTGCTATATCACATGGCAAAGGTGGCTGATTCGAGTGCGTGCCTATTATCGATTAAATCCGAGAGTATTTAAAAAAGGTCACGATTCCGCTTCAAGTGAATAACACCCAAAACCTGAGAACTTTCGCGCTAACAACTAATATTATATATGTGGTTTCTCTCTATGGATTCACTCTTTCTCTTGATATGGGGAGACAAAGGCGTGCGACGCTAAATTTTGCTCAACGATACCCACTCAGCTCCCGTTATTGTCCCCAAATTGCATTATGCTTCAAAACAAGCTCTTTTCCCTCACGGAACTATCTCCTTGGCATTCCATTTGCGTTGTAGCAAAACAATCAAAATTCGCCGCGCTTGTTGGCGTCGCTTGCGACGTCGCGCCTGTAAATGACGATGTGTCGAGGTTGTAGATTTCAGCGCTAGACCTGTGAGCGAAAATAACCAAAATGTCGAGAAAGTCGTAGTCTACGTAAAATCCGGTGTTCCAGTTGATGTTCTAATGCGAGTTAGGAAATGCGGCGTTCCATCGCCGCGCGTCAAGTTGCGATTGTGTTGGCCATCTCCTTTTCTGAGAAGCTATCAATATTCGCTGATTTTTCCCCATTGCGTAGCACCATCTTCCTCTGCATGTCGCCATGAGGTTATTGCCCAACGTACTGTTTCCTGTTTCAAGAACTTACAAATTGAGTTCTGCTTCCTGGCGCCACCCATAGTCGGCCGGTTTCACGATTTTGGAAAGTTTTCGAGGAGTTCCTTACCTTACTCGAAAATATACTCATCCTGTTGGTGATTCGCATGCCGAAATAGAACCATAAAAGGTTTCAAAATTACAAACATTCAGGACAATGGTTCTGGAACACTCGTTGATTTCTCACAACCTGGTAATGAAGGATCTGGGTAAGAGTTCTTGGCAGAGTTTCGATTTGTTTCGAATTACTTCCAGTAAGATCTTACTTTAGGAATCTTGTTGATGTTTTTGGACATTCATCTTCCGGGCGACATCAAGAGCAGGCTCCATCCAATATGGTTGGTACAGGAGAAGAAATGGACATTGCCAACAAGCACGACTATCTCAAGTGAGTCTCAGCGATTGTTTCTTTGTGCTTATTTTTTATAGATAATGGGAACAGTTCGGCTTGAGAGGGAGGGAGGGTGCATTTTGCACGTTCGCTAGTTAGCACATCACATCCAGATGAGACCTGTAGACACTCGTCAAGTGTGAACGATGTTCGTGCTATTGTATAGCTTTACAGAAATTTACAGCTATCCAAAGGAAGCACCAGTAGTGATCAGTTGGAACCAGTAGAATGCCCTCGCCGAGCTGAACTTTTCCTAATAATTTTTATCATTCGTTTTCTCTCTTCATTTCCTTACCGCACGGATTGAAACGGTGTTATCGAAGAAGTACGATAACATCTCTTCAAGTGATTCGCCCATTGCTATCACTACGTTTACATGAATACTTGTTCAGGTTCGTTGTGAAAAATAATGGAGTGTTGTACGAAGACGAGGTGATTCAAATCGGTTGCAAGCTGGAAGCCAGGACAAATCTAGCACGTTTGGGAATGTTTTACGGCAACAAGACAACACATCCTTTCACTGACTTCATCCCCACTGTTAGTTGCCCTGGAGTACTCGCGATGCAACTTCAAGCGCAGGTTTGCAATTTTACTAATTTTCCATTGCAAAGCTTAGTTTAGAGAGTCATGTTTCTTTTCAATTTTTTTAATTGTCATAAGTACTGATAGAAAAGAAAAACATTCGCAAACCTGAGCGATAGTACCTGTTGGAAGGGAAAGGAGTAAAGCCATGTTCATATACGAAGATTCCGTGGAATCCGCAGACTCTGCAGAATGCGCGGAATCTGCGGGAAAAATGCGGACGGATTCTTGCATGTGATGATGACGTAAAGGACAGCGGGACGGATCGAAAAAAAAAACACAGAATATGTGGAATTTTGGCGTGTGATGATGGCGTAAAGGACCTGGAGATAGCTATCAGTAGGGAAAATGATAGAGTCGAAGAACAGCGCGTCCAATTGGGGGTAAAAGTTCCTACAGAGTTTTTGTGTGCACTCTTCTCCTGTGGTCTCGTATAAGTCACAATTCGTTTCTTTCGCAGTAAAGTGGGGGTTTGGTAAATAGACGCGCTGACTTGGTGAGAACAACTTTTAAGTCGAATAATTCCAAAATCAAACCGTTGTTGATGATATAGCGTTCGGGAATGCGGAGGGGTGTGCTGGTAGCGGCGCGATTTTGTATTTTGAGATTCTGTCTTCGTGGCGTTGAAATCAGCTGGTTTGCTGGGATGTTAAATTACCTGTTCCTGGTATGGGTAGAAAGTGGAGTATTTATCTCTACTCACCACTTTTCTCAGAAACTTTCCTCGAGAGGCACATAATTTCTATCACACTCTAAAGATGACCACCAATGTTTAGCATTTTTGTTATCTCACTTGTTACGTTTTTTCTCTTTTCCGATGAACTCTCATAGACAGCCACGGAGTAGTTCTCAACTCTTTTCTTTTTCTGCAAAACCATCAGTTTCCCTAGCAGCGGCTTAAAGCCAGCTATGCATAAGCGACGTATCTGATAGCTCCTAGCCGTGTGGCGACTTTCTCGATTTCCCAGATCGAGCGGCCCTACCACTAAAACATTCTTCATTCATTCATTTTCGATTTTTTGCTGTTCATCAGAGTGGTTGTGCGCATCGCTTGACTAAAGGACTAGCCTGCTGTGCCCCTGTTCAGTTCACGCGGTATGACAGTGATTACAACTAGGATTCTTGTTTCTCTGTTTCCTTTAGTTTGATGAAAATTCGGTTACCTGCCTTCATTGGAGCGCGCTTACTGGGCACAAAAAGTACCCACTGCCTTCATTCGATGGCGCGGACGTCTTCTTTGGACAAATTAGTCTTGTCCGCAGGCACTAGGAATTCCTAGTTTCGCAGATCGAAATGCGTGAGGAAAGAGCCCCCGGTTGCGACGAGGTCCATGGCTTCGCCCACTGGCCACGGCAAATTCCAGCGTTCATTTTCAATTGCTCCTTGGAAGGAGCTTGGTGAGGATGTTGTGATAAGGAGACAGAGCTGACATCAACAAGTAGAAACTGGTCCCATCTTGCCTTCTTTACCTTATGCAAGTGCGAGTGCAGTTCAGCATGGGGTCCTATATAAAGCATTTTTGGGTGGTTTTCTGCTTTTTCCTCCACTAAGCACAACTCAACATTTTCAAAAAACGGATCTTTCAGAGTGTGCGATGGAAGGTTCAGCATCAAATAATAACAATTAATATCAAACATCAGCGTACCCCTTGTCTGGTCCTTGCCCCGCTGAGTATTATTTGTCGCTCTGTCTTTTTTCAATCGTTTCATTGTTACAGGCAAAACCAATGGATCCGATCGTGCAAGCGGGCACGCAGGTGCAACAGCTGATCAATTTTGTATGTGTACAGGAGTTTGGAAGGATGCCTATTATGCAAATCAAATTCGGCTATACGTAGGTTTTTGCAGACTACCTAAGTTCGGTGCTGACGCTTTTCCGCAGAAAAAATTTCATAAAAAGGATATCGGAAATTATCTACTCTTCTTTCAGGGATAGAACTGGTCAATCTCACTCTTTTGATAAGTCGGTGTACCTGCCAGTTTTCGTCAACAAGTTC